TATATATATATATATATATTCACAAGTAGACAGATAACATAACTTTTATAAATATAACTTTTTATTTTATAACTTTAATTATATATAAAGTTATTGTTATAAAAAATGCAATTATATGTGAGACCGTACATATTATATTTTATATTTTATTAAATTTTATAATTTATTATATTATATTTTATTAAATTCTTAAGAAATCTACGTTTCTATGTGAACAAATTATAGTGTTTAAATTTTAAATTAAAAATGTGAAACACACAAAATATATCTATATAAATACCAAAAATATTTTTCGTATTTCTTTTCTTGTAAAAATGCGAATAGATTTATTTGTCTTTACTTTTAGAATTATGAATTATTTCGTTTTGTTTTGATTAGAATATATATACATATATTAGAATACACATAAAATATTTATATTATTTTGAACTCGAATGCTAATATTTATTCTCATAATCCTGTTATCAGTGGCGCCTGTGATAGGAAAATCTTGTCACGACGATTTGACTCATTGCATGACAATTCGTCTGCTGACAAATTGCTCTCGTACCGATTGTATTGCGAGCACTTACAACAAGGCGATCCATATCAATTTATCACGACTGTTATTATAGTGCTGTACGCCTATACATTGCAGAAAACGCATTTCCTTTGACTCATCATTAATCAGATAACGTCTTATTATTGGTGCATTTTGTCACGCACATTTATTTGGCGATGGTTTGAATTTGATATCTGAATGGAATTTTTATATCTAAAAATACATATTAATTATGCCGGTAGTTTTATTATAAAGGTTATTTAAGAATTGTTGTTATATTCAAGAAAAAATATTGCACGAAGATTTTACATATAAATTAAAATTTATTATTTTTGTAATGATATTTTTATTACGGGCAATAAGATAATCAGTTTTTTTCTACGTTAGTAAATAGAACTATTTATATAATAGCACTTAGATATAATAATATCATTTTTGTTATTTCTCTCATTCGTGTGATAATCTCAAAAATAAATTTTGTTATAAACCATTGTTGACTTCTTTGCAACATTTATACAAAATTTATAATAATAATAGTGTAATTTCCGGTAATTACACTTCATAAGTATAAAAATGCCGAAGTGCTATGAATATATGTATGCAATTAAAACGTTGCGCGCTAATTGTGTTTATCATATATATCAAATTTCTATAGAACTGAAATTTATGAAATATAATTGATAACGTAATTTTATAAAAAATAATCTTATATAAATAGTTTTGTAAAGATATTTTTAAAAGAGAGGATTTTACTTTTTTTTATCATAAAAATATTTGCATTTATACAATATACAATATTCGCATGTGTTTTAATAAGAGAATATTTTGGTAGATAATTTATTAATAGATTAAATCACATGCACTGTTTGTGTGTTAGACAAAAATACATTAGATAAATCTAAATATGTAGGATAACATAAAAGATATATATGTGTGTATATTTTATACGTTATATATGTCTTATGTTATATATTTTATATTTATTTAATGTATGTTAATTATGTAATTACATGTGATTTAAACACTCAATAAATATTATTTATTAAAATATTCTTTATATGTATGTATTATTTATCTTAAATGTTACGAACGAATTTACTAACGATTTCAAATATTTTTATTGCTCATTATTTTAAGATAGATCAATTCAATTACAATAAAATAAATTAGCCAATAAATTAATCAATATAAGAGAAATGACGATTTACACAAATAAATTTCGATCATATAGTCAAAGATTTTTGTTCGTTTAAATTTAGATGCAAAATTCAAAGAATTAATATACGAAGATTAATAAATATTGCGATTTTTCATTCATCTAATTCATTTTGATATTCATTCGTTCGTTCGGTTTCAATTACAATTCTCGATTGTTCCTTTTACGCGTAAAAATTGTGTCACATCCGTCATTTTGCACACCCACTTTCGCGAGTGTGAGAATTTAAACATGTTAGGTGCAGTTCACGGAATTCCTGAACACCTCTAATCAACCTACACTCTTAATCGAGCACCTGGTATCCATTCATTAACATTCACATTTTCACATCTTGCTTTTTATTCATTACCTGCGATCGTTATGCTTAACGTTTAGAATATAATAGTCGTGATTTTAAAGCATTTAGTCTAAGTACAAGTCAGACATGCACATGAGCATTGTATTGAAGCGCGTGTTTATATAAATAAAATGTTTGTTATAAATAAAAAAATAAAAAAATAAATAATAAATATAAATAAATATAAATAAATAGATAAATAAATAAATAAAGCCTAATAAATAGAGCCTAATTCTTTTCAATTTATTAAATAAATAAAATAAAATAAAATAAATACACACATACACACACACACACACACACACACACACACACACACACACACACACACATATATATATATATATATATATATATATATATATATTTGTACGACATATATATGGTAGGGCTTCGTTCTCGGTCTAGACGTTAAAATCTATGTACACGACTTTTCGCTTAATCATCACCAAAAGGCTTCCCGACGATATTCCCATACGTGACAATATTTCAGCGAAGAATCTACGCAGCTACGCACATGCACATGATATATAAATGATGTAAATTTTTAAATGCTATAATGAATTCGTTGGCTCGTACATATTAGGAGTATATCGATTTTAGAGACATCGGGGTGAAAAATGCGCAACCGTAAAGCACTTATTTCATTTTTTTCTTTTTTTCATCGACGAAATTTATTGCTCACGAGGGATGACGTTGCAACCGGGGATACTTTTGGCGAATGTCCAACTCGACCATGTAACCGATCCGGATCGGGCGGAGTTTCATGCAAATCCTCTTGCCATCGGGTTGCTTCCTTGTCCACGTTTGAGAAAAGCTCGTGCATTCATTACTTGCGTGTCACTGGAACCACGAAAATGTCGTTTGCCCGAAGCAACCTGCACGGGATCAGGAATCGTTCCATCGTGCTCTCACTGCAATTGCATCTACATCATGTCCTTATCTTCAATGATCGCATTCGCGTATTTTATAGATTTATCACAAAATACATTTTGATCGATAAGACAATTCGAGAAGAGGGAATTTGTGGTTATAAAATAGTTTAATATCCTTAGATATTATGAGAAAAAGGCTGATGCTATAATTGAAGAAATTAAATGCATCAAATTTTACAATAAAAACGCCAGCTCTTATAAAATTTAAATTGTATGTGTTTTTTTTTTATTTTATTTGTTTTTTTTTATCTCTTAAATATTAAATGAGGAAAGTTGTATACGAAAACTAAATAAATCGTATGTTTATATAAATGCCGCGTGTCCTACAGTTGCAGTTATTGCAATATTATATGTTTGGCATTTTTTTCTCGCATGAGTTCCATTATCTGCATGCATATAAAAAAAGAAATGTACATATTTAACACATAAAATAACATATAAAACGTGCAATAAGATATTCAAATTTTACAAAATTTTGCAGTGCACTTGAATACACAATGGTAGTTATCATTAGCTTATAATAATATTTCAATGTTTCTCCAAAGTTGTCTTTATTTGTACAAAAATCAAATAAAAAATTTTTATTCATTTTTTACTTTGTTTTCTATCTGGTACGAATGTTTTTTATCAACGCTTTTGTGTCCTGTTTAATTGTTAAAAGTTAGTTATATCATAAAGTTTATTTCGCAGATTTTTTTCTCGAAAAATACAACTGTATGCGCTTTAAATCTTGCAGAGTGTATATCGATTGTGACTTTTTTTGCAGTACATCACAGCAGTTTCCTATTTTTAACGTGGAGAGATTTGAAAAAATGTTTCGCAAAGAACAAAAAGACTTGCAAGGTATAGATAGAACGATAGTTTTAGCTCTTCGAGTTTTAATAATTATTAGAATTCACGAGGAACGTCAGAATTTTCAATAGAACGTTGGATTTACGAGGAAAATTTTTCCGACCTTTCTATGACATTTAAAAATTTGATTGAGAATTATAATAATTTTTTGAAAATTTAAAGAAAGAGCAGCTAATTTGATATAGGTCAATCGATATTATAGTCATACATTTTTTTGATCGGGTCAGAAAGCTAGTAAAACGCAACATTTCCATTACTGGTATAGGCAAGTACTTTCGCGATGAGAGAGACACGATAAACTTGAAAAATTATTATTGAAAGTACATGAGAGGAGAGCTTTTCTGCCTTTCTTTGGTCTCCATTAAGTTTCAAGATGTAAAGGTCGATAAATCACTGCACTTTCTAGCTCCAACGATCGGCGAACGGTCTTTAATTCTACGTATCGAGCATTGCAATTTATCTTGTGCATGCAAATTTTTAATTCAAATAAATTTTGACGCCTCGAACATGCATTTGTTTAGAGTTACATATTCCAGGAATTGAAATAACATAAACATATAAAAATACATAGATTATTTCGCTATAAAAGTAATCTATCATTAATTTCTACAAATAAAAAAAATAATATAAAAATAATAATAAAAAAGCAGGATGTTATTTTATGGATTATATTTGAACTATCTCTCTCTCTCCCTTTCTCTCTCTCTCCCTCTCTCTCTCCCCCCCCCTGCTGTGCACAGAAAAAGAAATTAAATAAAATGATGTATTATAGAAATATGTCGAGATAATTTATATTTTGAATATTCATGCAATATAATTTTTTATAATTTTAGTAATAATTTCGTTATTCATGCTAATAATTATTTTTATTATTTTAATTATTATTACATTTAATGTCACTTATAGTGTCATAATTAGTTACATTGTTTCGGTATCTATCGAATATTTACATACATAGAGTATTTTTATTAGTTTATAAAACTTTCGAATGTTTTTTTTTTCACAAGACAATGTGAAAATTTAATATAGGCCATTTATTCGCGACTTTATTTTTTTTACATATTTACATATTTGAATATATTTTTACAAATTTGTACAACTTGTAAATTTTCGTTTGCTTCAAAGTTTAATTGTAGAAAAATTTCACTAGAAAGGGACTTCCTGATATCCAGGGAGATCCTGATAAATATTTCGAAAAGAAATTACTTATCACGAGAATTCTCTCGTACATCACGATCCGGAAAATGCAAAACGTTAAAAATTCACGAGTACCTTTCATTCGGAGCGCACGAGCCACTCTTACTCGTCTCACTTTTACACACGCGTGTGAATACTTTATAGGGCATAAAAAGTACCGCAGCAGCGCACTTGGTTGCAAATCGTTGAAATCGCATGAGGGAAGTGGATCTCCCCCCTTTTCACAGACGGGCGAGTCAAGAGGGGGACTCTTGGAGAAAAAGGGCGGATTAGAAAGGATGCGAAGGAGGAAAGTCACGGTTCTCTCGACGTGATACGAGGGGGAACACGAAAGAAAGGAAGGGTGCTGGGAGAGGAAGTGGGCGATGGTGCGGTCGGGTCGGGGTGGCGGTGGTGGGTGGTGGTGATGGTGGTGCGGAAGGGTCGCGCCGCGACGTCGCGCGAGGGCGGACCATCAGTTCGCGTTCGAGCGGCCGCCGATATGGGTGATCGGTCGTTCGGGCCGCATTCTCTCGTTATCCCCTGCGATTCTGCGGTCTCGCGATAGAAATTGTGTCCAAGAGACACGTGTCGAGAGGTGATCGAAGGCCAGGGAGTGCGTGGTGCGTGACATGACGTGCGAAGCCGGTCGACCGACAGGATGGTCACTGGTGCAGTCTACACGAATGTGGCTAAGGACTTGAATGCATCCGCGATCAATATTTATTATCACTTCCGAATGCCGATTTTTTTCTACGTGTTACATCGACAGACTGGTATCGATCGTGTAAAGCTAATTTCGTATCAAGTTCATGTGTAATTTTGAGCGTGAAGGAAGATTGATTAGGTCACAGAGTCTTGTATGTAAATGCAGCATCTAGCCATTACGTTATTAATATTTATGGGCAAAGGTATAAATATGACAAGTAATGAGTATCTTCCAAATATCCAACGATATTTTTCACGCTCGCAATCCTCTGGTACTTGTTATTAAATCTTCATTAATATTATCAGTATCGGAGTACGGTTAAATAAATATTGATTATTTGAGCGTTTCTTAAAGGGTGAGTTTGTGATAAATAAACTGTTAGTGTGCATATTTATTTGCATAGCCTTTTTTAGATGTGATTGAGATATTTTAATCAGGATTTCTTTATGAACGTGCATAGTTTATTGAATATCGTGATTAATTCTTATTATGAAAAGAATAAAGAAAATCTTGCGAATTTGTCAAATTTGATATATGACCTGCATATAATGTTTAAAATGATTTCATGCATTTTAACGTACCCCTTGTTAAACTTATTATATATGACATTTTCGTGATCGTGGTTTCATTGCAGCAATTTAACCTTGATCGTTTAAATATAGTCATGCTTTAGTAATATGTGCATTTATGTATGATGTATCTGATTGTTACGTGAGATTATGAAAAATTGCAATTTCTATTTTTTTTTTATATCTTACTGATTTGAAAATAAAATTTTTTTTCTAACATACATATATGCATATATAAATTATTAAAACTTATCGAAAATGTAAAATGGTCTACCATTATATAAAAAAATATTTTAATGATAGAAAATCTGAATAAAAAATGATTGATTTTTAATTCATGTTAATTTGTTTGAGAACGAATACAAACTATTAATCATTTATTACTGATAAATGATTGAAAATTTAAAGTTTTTAAAGTGAAAACATGTGAATAATGAATAATAAACTATATATATTCTTATTTATAATTAAACAATGATTTTTTTGCTGATTTTTTCTCATGAAAAAAAACTTTCAAATTTATTAAAGAATCTATTATTAAATTATTACTTAACCAGTGATTTATTGAATTTAAATTTGCTAATTACTACAGCTGCAATGTAAGCACAATTATAATGATTAACACTGCGAGTAATTTAAATTGTAAATAGTTTAGATTAATTGAACATTATTTAGTAATTATATTCTCTTTCAACATTGGTGGAAAGAGAAAATTGAAATTAGCAAGATCAAACAGAAATTACACTAATGCTATTAAACGTAGCATCCATAGAAATAACTATATGTGTACGATATTTACGTCGTTTTCTATTTATAAAAAATTCACACGCGCAGTGCGTCGCACGTGCCAAGTACTTTGTTTCTAGATAATTATATCGTAATTAATCGGATAATCGGAACTCTTTGATCTTTCATGCAATTCAAAATTCTTCCCGGTCAATTCTCGGAATATTGAACTATCATCAATCATCTATATTATATATATATATATATATATATATATATATATATATTGTATATATTATATATATTATATATATTATATATATATTGTATTAAAAATTGAAGACAAAATTACATAAATATGATTATTTTGCTTTTATCTTGTAAATATAGGAGCAAAATAAATTAGCAAAATAATTTTAAATTAATAATAATAATTTAATATTTAATATAGTAAAATAATTTAATATTTAATATTATAAAAATTATGAAAATAAATTAATTTAATATTTAATATTTTAAATTTAATGCGATGCAGTTTATAAACAATGATTTTGTCAAATTTTATTTTATTTCGTTGCCTTATATATTTGCAGCATAAAATGCTATTTACACATACTTTCGCAATGTCACGTTATTTAATTTTAGAATCTTTTTTGCAATTCAATCTAAGCCATTCAATGACCTTTTATTTATATATTTTGATTTATTATATATGATTGATAATAACGAGAAGTTAAAAAAACAGTTTAAACGAATAATTGCGATGGGACCAAACAAAAATCGAGTAAACAAAAGCAATACTGACAATAAAATAACAAAATTTATTTAAATAGTTATATTCCTGGCAAATATACGTATTTGCTTGGCAGTATATAATAATGTGTGCACGTATGGATATGATGTAACAAAATTACAAATCTTAGCATTCATAATACAAATGAATATATAGTGCGATGATTTAATCATATGAGATAACGTACATCCTAGATGAAATTTACATGCTATAATATTTTTACACATTATGTAAAATGGAGGAAAATATTCGTAAGTTTACAGGTTCAAAAAACATATAATTAAATTATTTTTAAATTACGCATTTTATTTTACATACACACATATGATTCAAACAGATTATTTTCTCATCTGAATTTCTATTCCATTTATTTACGCGATATAAAACGGATGTGTATCACCGTGAAATTAAGCTCGCGATTCACGAAACTCTTCGGAAATTATTTCCGGTAATTTCCGGTTATAATTTTAATCGGGCATTAATTATTTCGGCTCCGACAAAATTCAAGTTAATCGGCTCGGTCTTTTCTACTCTTTTTTTACAAACAGCTATTCGCTCGCTCTCCTTGACAAACCGACGAGCTTGTCCCGATATAAAACACTCGTCGGCCCGAAAGCATCGCTGTGTACCATTTTAATTGCACTTTAATCTGCGCTGCCCGTTGTGTTGGACGTTCCGTGTCTCTCGCGCATAATTACCAGCAAGCATAACAGTATGAATGTATATAAGGCACCTAATGTATATAAGTTCACCTAATTACAACGGCCGGTCATATGCACGTATATATGAAATAATACAGTGCTTATAAATAATAGATCAGAAAAAGTCTTTTACTTGTTTGTAAAATAGATTAATTTATAATTATTTACGTAGAACTATTATGCATTGATTTAGTGCACTCATCTACTACAGGTTGTTATCAAGAGGAAGTTAAAGTAAAATAAAAGCGTAAACAATAGTAAGAGTGTGTTCCGTGTTAGGTGTATGTTCTATGGACCTATATACTCTTTATCTAAAATTAAATTAAAAAAAGAGGTAATAGGTATTTACTTGAGGCACTCAACTGTCTGCACGTTTCTTTATTTTTTTTTATTTTATCTAAAGTACTGCTTTACTTTTTCAAACTTTTTCAATTTCAATTTATAGAAATACAATATTTATATGTTTCTTCACTTCATACTTTGTTTCTGTCCGATCATACCTGAGTTCGTTCTACTGTCAGTTTCGAATGCTGAATGATAAATATATTAATCTTGTATGTCTTTAATTCTAGAAAAGATTGTTATTTATAAATAAAATAATGTTCGTTTTATTAATTTTTATCTCAATAATTTAAATGAAATATTCAATATTGTATTATATTAAGATTTACATACAATCGTTATTAAATGTAAATTAAAATTGCTCCAAAAACAATGAACTGTTATTGTTCTTCGCTTTATCAATTATATTTAATAAAAATAAATAATTTTTATTATTTAATTCTTAAATTTTTATTTATATTTTATTAATTACATAATCTACATAATATAAAATAATTTTAAATTACATAATCTACATAATATAAAATAATTTTAACAATTATAATTATAGTTTTTTTTTGTTAATATTTAGTTGATTTCATATATTTTTGATTACAATTTTATAAAATAAATTTATATATATATATATTTTTCAATATTTTTTGTACAATAATTTAGACAATAATTTATTTTGCACAATAATGTATAGACTTGAACTTGTTTTTTTTTTTCTAAATTTTACTAACGAAATTATCTTCTATGTTGAAAAATAAAAAAATATTAAATATTTTTTATCAGAGCAATAAATAAGCAAATAATTAGCATTTATTATGCTATATCATTATTTTTCATGATGTCAAATCAATGTTTCGAAATATGTTGTCATATTAGGTACACGTGATTCATACGGTCTTTAAACATAATTTATGATTGGCTAGATTTAAACTCTTATATTTCAAAATAAGTAAAGTGAGTCATCGTACCAAGCACAAATAAATAATAAATTAACAAAATATAAATATTATACAAATTACTCACTTCTCTCCTCTGATTGCTCCGTCGTCGGAGCCTGATGGCTTCCCCCGTTCTCCACTTCTTTTATTTGTCCTTTGCTGCTTCTTTATTGCCCTCACTTGCGGTAAATACGATTAATTACAATCGCGCGCGCACTCATGACCAAGATACGGTAATCGTGCAGCACTCCTAATTTTAATCGCGTACACGCGACTTGTTCTTTATTTTATATTGCAACGCAAGAATGCGAAAATTATGATTACGTGAAACTATGTATATCTACTCGATCATAGAAAGTTGCGCAGTCGAATTTACATAATGTTATCTTGGTTGCAAATGAACAGCGTACACATGCATTTTATGGTAATATTACATTTCTCGTTTATACCTAATTTTAATTGTACTAGTCATATTATATTTCATATTTTTTCGCACTTTGGGAGATATGTAATGTACGATGACACGCAGAGCGTTACCTTCCCGTTCGAATTTCATCGAAACAATAACAACCGCAATACACATTATAATGCGATCATCTTGTTATCATTTTTGCGATTAAACTCGAGGGAAGGAGACGAGAATACTCCGAGCGCTCGTAAAGGGATATAAACAATAACACGCTATTGTTGACATTCTCTCGACGATATTCGAACGAAGCTAACGCTATGTATGTCGTATTATCTCTCTCAAAATACGATTATGAAAAATATTAGAAAATATCGCAAATGCAATTATTCTTTAAAATTATAAAATTATAAAATGAATTATGAGAGATAAAAATGTGCTATATAATATATATTTATTAATAGTAGAGAGATAGCATTGTATGAATTTGGCAGTTAAACAAATCGTAGTTTCCTGTAATAATGATTTTTTTTATTTTTTAATTTTTTTATATAATATATATTATTTTTTTATATATAATATATATTATTTTTTATATATAAAGTGTAGGTTGTGTGCGATTAATATTGAGAATATTGTGTAAAGTAAATCACACGATGTCGTATTTTGATGATTAGAGTGCGTGATTATATTATTAATTAATTTTTATTAATTAATATTTAACCGGATTTTCGCGAGTGAGAAAAAGCCATAAACAAGCAGCAAAGGATAAATAAGAGAGGAGAAGAAAGCCCGGAAAGAACGACGATGGAGTAATTGACAGTAATGAACAGTGAGTAATTTATAATTTTGTTAATTTGTTATATATTGTTTTTAAAAGTTACTGTTGATGGCGTAATGTCCCATTAAAACGAAGAGATTTTTACAGCTACAAAAGCTCGTTTAATTCTCGTATTTGAGTTTAATGAATGTTGAAAGAGCTTGCTGTGCTTTTGTAACGAATAATATACCTGTTAAGAAATCTCCGTATCGTTGATATAAATAAGATATCTCTTAAAAGAAATGATTAGTGCGTTTTATTTTTGAATTTCTCTCTACTCTGTATTATGAAGTAAAATTTCTTTTTATCGAATTTCTCTTTGCAAAGTAGTCGGCGAATGAACTTTTGCGCTTTCCTCGCACTTTTAACCAAATGGAATTTGTCGAATTTGTTATACACTTTCGCGTTCGTGGAGGAAATACAAGAAAGTTCACGATGTTCGAAAGAAACCGCATTCTTTCTATCGTTTTTTGAATTTCGACAAATAGACAGGAACCGTCAAATGACGACTTTCTTGTGGAAATAAGGCAGACAGAAACTTTTTGCTGTGACTTACTGCCAGACGTAAGAAGCACGACTATGTAGATTTTTCTTGAAGATTTACTTTTATGGAGCTCGCAGAAAGCGGTTTCATCTCCGGAAAAAGCTCTTTCGACGAAAAACCTCGTCGATTTGTGATCTCGCTCCCCATGTTTTAAGATATTTACAGAAAAGAAAAAAGAACACTTCCTATCTTTATAAGAAATAAAGTTTTAAGCGTGTATATAATTATAAATGAATACATATAAATGAATAAATAGTTGATTATCATTCCGATCACTCCGATTTCACACGAGAATTTTTACATATGTGATTCTCGCACATATTTAATAATTAAAATAATAGATTTTATATATATATGTATATAATAAAAAAATAATTTTATACATGATAAAACTCAATTCTTCAATCATAAATATTATTTTATAAAGCTACATTTCTACAGATAACTTGTAAAGAAAAATTATTTAAATTAATATATGCTTTTTTTCTTGCATATATTAAAAAATTATTATTATTATCTTTTTGTGATCTTTTTTATGATATAGAACAATCGTTAATATTGATTACCACAATTTGATTTCATGAAATGTGAATAAAGAAATTTTTCATAGTACATACATAAACTTGAATATTGTAAACTGAAAATCTACAAGAATTACAACAGGTATAGCGTTGTGATACATAATTATTTATTATTAAGCATTGTTCCATATAAAATAATATATATACATATATAATTATAAATAATATATTTGATAAGAAGCAATTACAAACATTGCTTGGCATGAATTATATAATTGAATTTCTTGCGATAAAAAGCTAAGAACATTTTTCACAAAAACATTTAGAAACGATTAGTGAAACAATACCTTTTTGTGAAAATGAAATAGGGAACGAAACGATTTTCGTAATAATCGAGATTCTCTGAATGATCAGTCGTATTTGTTAGTGAAGTATGTATCTATAGCGAATATAAAGGCAGCTATGATCGCGAAAGAACCGGCCGCAACCATTTGATCGCTATATTCCTCTAGATACGCGTGAATCAGATTAGTCGAGAAATTGTCCCAGTCGTGAATCAGGATGAGGCCGGCGATGCAGCACAGAATCGCTCCCATCGATGTAAAAATGAGAGCCTGCAAAATAAAAGAATAGTGTATTTGCTATTTGTCGAAAAAAAAAAAGAAATGTATCCACTTGTCACAATTTGGCATTGTTATAACTATTTATGCACGTTAAAATTCATCAAATAGCAATATAATGAAATTAGTGAAAAGATGACAAGTTGGATTTTCAGAATAGAATCTTTTTTTCAAAAGTTTTTTATATGTGAAAAAATATATATTTATTCAAAAGTTTTTTATATATGAAAAAATATATATTTATTTAGTGTGAAATATAAATCTCTTCGTGTTTGATTTTTCTATTGCATTTGAAGTTTGAAACAATGGAATTTTTAGATTTTTGGCCGACGTCATCCTAGATCGAATCGAATTTAAATAATTCTATATATATAGAATACAGACAATCTGAGAAATTGAAGCAGCAACGACAGAATTTTATTTGATGCATTTTTTAATATTTTGCTAAATCGGAGAACAAATTAATTCTTGGATTCTTGATACATAATTTAAAATTTTCTTTTTATGCATGTGATTTATATCGAAAAGAAAACTGTATTTCTTCTCAACTATTTTTTTCTAAACAAAGATATCTTTCTTTTTAATAATTATCTATGTTATAAATCATATTTATCGAGTAAATTGCTTTCATTTATGAAGGAAATAGCAATATTTCGTATTTTAACTCACCGTTTTTTTCGGCAATCGTTCGCCTAATAAATGACTCATAATAAGAATCGCGTTTATAAGAATATAACCGCATACTGCCACATAAAATATCGCTATATGATGAATATTAGTCGGTCGAAATTGATTCTGTTGAAATGGTCCTGCCACCAATCCTGCTGCAATGACGCAAAAAATCTATAACATTTAATATGTGATTGTTACTAAAAAAATATTCGTTATAATTATTATTAAGGAAAATATTTGTTATATTTTCTAGAACAACTCAATTAAATTTATTTATCACAATTAAAAATTTTTTTAAAATATAATTTTATTAAATATATATAGTATTTAACATATTAATAATAACAATATTAAAATATATTAATAACAATAATATTTATTAAATAATAATTATTCTATAACATAAAAATTATTTATTCTATTAATTATAGACAACATAGAGAGTATTGCATTAAAGAATGTAACAATATTTTCGATATTTATGTTATAAGTTGAGAGACTTTGTATGCAAAGTATGTATTTTTTATTAAAATACAAATAATATATTACTAACAATAATTATTTTGTATATTTAAAATAGAGATGCAAGGATAAAAAATGATTATATATAATTTAATGATTATTTTTGCGGAATTTTGAAGTTTATGTTAGTACCAAAATATAAAGAAAGATATTTAAAAATAAAAAAAGACATTTAAATTTTGTTTCTATCGAAAGATTAAGAAGATTATATTTTCATCATGCGTAATATATTTTTAGAAATCGTTATTTAAGATCGCAATAATTTGCATTCTCACCAGTTCGATAATTTTGCAAAAAAATGGTGCTTCTTTAAGATATCCTTTCAATCTCGTTAGGAGGGTGGATGCAGAAGTCTCTTCAGCCATTTTTAAATCCCTTTTTCTATTATGTAATACTCCTTTAATTTGATAGACACGCACACCTTATAATTACTGTAATGAAATATTCGTCGACATACATTCGAGGTATAACGATGACTGTTTCCAGCTACGCTGAGAAACGCTCCACCCAACTATTGACCTGTCGCTAGTCAGTAGTCACACTGGCTAACATTAAATCCACTAAGTCCCCACTTCCTTGCTACTTAAATGCATTTAATGCGTTATTGTAACAGTTCTTGGTACTCAACCTTGGCGGAGGGTCTGAGATGATCTGTGCCCCACATCTCCCCCTTTTTCTCTCCGAAGATGGACTTTATGCAAATATTCATGAATACAGATGAATCGCGTGAATAAAAATAACTTCTTGATATCAAGTTGTTTACACTTAATAAGAATTTTAAATATATTTCATGCGCAATAAATATACAAATAATATATTAATAAAAGTTTTTACTTTTTTTTTTAAATCTCTTAACGATTATATTATTTGCACTAATAAAATGTTACTCGCATCATTAAAACTGATTTCCGTATTATTAAAATTGATTTTGAAATTTGGAACAAGAATATATATTTTTGTGCAATTTTACTATTACGTACAATTTTACTAATAATATAACAGAGAGATAAATCCGAAAGAGAGGTAAAGGTCCAGTATTGATTTGAAAATTATATTCTGAAAATGTATATTTATCGCTGAAAATTTTGCAGACGAGCAAACTGTGTCACGATCTGCTGAATTTTATGGCAATGTAAAAGATAAAGATAAAGAACAATTGTCTAAAGTGACTAATCATGAAATGCAGTGAATAATTTTGCATCTCATTGCATTGTGTTCGGATCGTTGCGGACGATTTTTTGTTGAAATCGAGTTCTTCTGCCATTGAATCGTCCCTTAGGGCCGTGTACTTTAATTAGGATACTTTAATTAAACAAAATTCACTTTGAAAAGAAGGAACCGTGTAAAACATTCCCGAATGGGAACCAGGCACGAAACACACGTACGATGTATACTTACACTGTCTACCCACGTTCATCTCATCGCCATGCTCGATTGCTGGCTTAATTTATCATAGCTTCTTCCGACTTCCTTTGCCGCCTCATCCTCCTGTCCTAGTCATTTTTCTTTGTTTTTTTATCGTTTAATTAATACCCTGCTTGCTTCCACTCTCACTGGACTATATAATTTACTGGAGTGGCCTTCAAATAGATGACCTAAGAAATAATTATATAGTTGAAGAATATTTATGTTTATTGTAATGTTTCTGACCTAATGATCTTCTATAATGAATTCGTTAAATGGAGAAGAGAAATAGACATCCTTCACCAGTTTAAAACTGTTTTTTTTTCAGGATATGGCCGCACATCACTGTAGTTTGTTATAAAAAAAACTCATTCCATTATGTTATGTAATGCTTCTATTCGTTGTGTCTGTTTTCGATTTGATCTTTGCTATGTTTTAAAGTTTTATGAGTTTTATTAAGTTAACACATTGTTGAGACATATCATTGAGACATATTCATTTCATGCATTGCATAGAATGAATTTTTGCGAAATCGTGACTATGCTATTTCAAAAATAAAATTATAAGAAATTATCTTTTATTTATGTAGTACAATATAATTTAAATACAGCTATACTCAGTAAACATTATATTTTATTTTATATATTTAAGTATACATATTGTGATCTCATTTAATGTTATAATTTCTTACACTGTAATTTTATTTTACTTTACCTTTGCTTTTACTAGTTTCTGCACATATTATTTTAACGCTATTTACAATGTATTTCGCAAGATTAAATGGGAGATACGCCATTAAAAGAAATTCAACTGTCGCGTCATGTATTTTTTTAATTGAATGTGTATGCGGCAAATCATCGATATAAAATACATATCATGTAAAATGTTTATGATTTCCACGGATAATGCATATAATTAAGGCAGATATAAATTTTAAAAAGAATATAGGATAATAAAAAAATTTCTATTTGATCTTAGACTGACTAAAAATGGATAAATCCACTCAAGTACATTATTTTCAATCGATTGCTATATATTTTACATCTGTAGTTATAATATTTAGTTTAATAATTAAATTAATTTTTAACAATTAATTTAATAATTTTTAATTAAATTAAATTAAATTTACATTTTCGTAGAAATTAAAAAAAAATTCTTCTCTAATGTGTTTTATATATAATGTGTTTTATATATAATACATATTTTGATTTCACATTATATAACTTTACATAATGTAACTTTCAGAAAGGCTTTTAGTGCTACTAATATTGCTAATAAAAATCGATTTTGTCGTCGTAATGCGTCATGTCCTCCTTTCATAAACTGCTTTAATTAAATACCGATTACCTATCGTGCTCCGAGAAAATGTAATCGGGCGTTATATCTCTCGCAGTTTAATAACGCCAAGATAGAAAGATCAGCAATTTTTGACATCGCTCGATCGTTTAACGTTTGTTAAATGAGTGAAATGTATTGTCGGGTGATTACGCGGCAAAGCCGATTTCTGAAGTGCCCGTGGGTGAAAGCTCTCCACCCGCTAATTAGTGCTTTCACTCCGTTTACGGTTGGGCCAACCTGTATATTTCCGTGGCACAAAATCGATGATCGCAATTTTCCCCGTCAAATCTCGTTCTTGGAGTAGATCGGCAAGTTACACGGAATTTTACAAAGCTTTTTACGAACTGTGCGGCTTTGACTGCACACTCGAATAAGGATCGCCGACTTGTCGGGACAATCGGTGAAAATATATTCTCGCAATGCGGTCCCGCATTGCACCCACAATACGCTATTGCCTGCATATTTATCTCCGAGAAAGCACGGGATCTCCATTGCAGCACATTTCAAAGAGACTCTGCTGTCAAGCATCTCAAGATGCCAGTTTCACCCATGTGAAAAGCCTCTACTCTGAAAAGCTTACGCGTGTTTTAGGATGTATTTTCAAGGGGAGAAACACAGTAAAAACTACACAATAAAAATAAAATGTTAATTATAACATTTTTCACATATCTTAGAAAGTCCACTCTAAATTTTAAGTTAAAATAACTCATTCGTATGTTACTTATTGACAAACTAAAAGTGTTAAATAATTGACACAATACTTTACATTTATTTTTGTTATTATGACTTTAAGTGTAATGTAAAAATAATATACAAATTAATTAAAAATTACATGAAAAAATAGTTACAAAAACTCGAAGAATTGTTGTAGGATATAATAGTAATTATTTTAACTTAAATTATTTGTAATAGAAACATTTGATTTTAATAAATTTGATTATTTTATATATCAAAGTTCAAGATTATTTGAAGATTTACTTTAACTTTTCTTAGAATATTAAATTGACTTTGAGTCATATTGATAGTTTAAAATGATTATATTAAAAATACTCCAAATAATATTTCATTTCTAAGAGACATATACAAAATGTTAAGTTATGAAATTGACATAAATGTAACACATGAAAACGTTATAAAAATAATGACATATAAGTCGTATGTTAATTTTACATTAAAGTATTAATCAAAACGTGGTAACACAAAAAAATTTTAACATATGGACGCACAATTTTTTACTGTGTACGTTTTTAATCCTGCACCGATCTTAGAGAGAGAAAGAACAATCTTTTCTAAATAAAGAACGTTGTTAAATTTAATTTTAATATTTTAGAATTATCATACAAAGCGATTCTCTCTCACATAAATAACTACAAACAAGCAAAACTATAAACATGATTAATATTTTTCGTATTTATATAATAAATCTGATTATGTTTCTTCGACAAAATTTATATTGATTATGAGAGAGAGAGAGATGCTAGCAAAAATCAAGAAATAATAAAGAGATTATCACGACATGTAAACAGAACAAAATTTAAAACAATTCACTTCTTCAACAGCTTAAAGATAATGTTAAAAGAAAATGTTAAAGATATTCCGTTATATTATGTCGTTTGATTAATTATTCATGTCGGCTTTGATTTCTAGAAAGAACCGGTTTTACTTAATGACACTTGCTCATCTTGTTTTATCCGATGGCCGGTGTTAATCAGATTCACGGACGCATGTGACACTTTATCCGTGCGATCTTCGCTTTCATCCGATTAAGCGTATCCTATTTGAACGGCAACCTAGATCCTGTCGTTACACTCATGCTAATACAATGTATTATTATGTATACACAAGATAATTTCTCTCGAATGACGAGACTGGCAATTATCCGTAATATTTATTTTTATCACACACGCTAACCTTATTTCACATTAATAACGATAACTGGCACTTTCACGTTACCGTATTGATCTGCCCTTGATCTCTAATAGGATAATCAGCGTATACTTTTACTCTCGTATATGTGTCTTCATTTTGATAGAAGAAGCAGGAACAAATATCTATATTTTCGCGTCACAACATATAATTTTCTTTAGAGAGAAAAGCCATAATTTCAAAAAAATGTGCACTTTAATACTTTATAATTTATTAATACACATCCGATATTTGAAATAGCCAAATGATTCTCGAGAAATAATTATAAATATAATAAAATAATATAATATAATAATATAATAAAAATATAATAATATAATTATATAATATAATAATATAATATATAATTAATATAATATAATAATATAATATAATAATATAATTATATAATATAATAATATAATAAAATGATATAATAATTAATATAATATAATATAATATAATAATTAATATAATATAATAAATATAATAAAAATAATTGAAATATAATGATAATAGATAATTTAATAGAAAACGTGTGTTATAATCTTTACTACATTCTCTCCACGTAGGAAAGAGCTTATATTCGTATCTCTCTCTATTTCTCGCTACCTCTCACCCTACTAGATATCGGTTATCGATCGATCAGTGAACTGCAGATGTAGCGTGCGTGGTGGATGCAGGTGCAGCCGCAAATCCCCTCTCGACAAAGCAGTGACTTAAGTCTTGATCGCGCATTTCCCCCCTTTTCAAAAGCTCTTTGATGAGCATGTTTACGATATCCGTGTAAACCCGGCAACTTTGTTCAGTGTTTAATTTAACGGAGAGAATTCGTAGTTCCTTGATTTCATTATCCAATGTCGACACGAGTTTTCATCCTATCGACCATGCTGACCACGACAATTCACCTAGAGAATGTAATCTGCCGACATTT